CTTTTTACCCACGACCCACGACTTTTTACCCACGACCCACGACATTCTACCCACGACCCACGACATTCTACCCACGACCCACGACCCACGACTGTTAGCTAGTCCCACGTTAACCAAGGTAGGTTTGTTTTAAATATTGATGTATTGTTCGCTTTATAACGGCTTTGAAGCTGATCGTTGCGTATATTTTAAATGAAAAAGACAGCATATAATTTTAGTGTTTCTTTATTGATTAACCTTTTTATTATATTAAAAAATAAAGCAAAGTTGTTTGAATGCGAGAATTTGAAATCATTTTATTTCAAACTCAAAGTTTAGTTCGATAAAGCCTTTATTAAAGGCAGTTTTATAGTTTTAGGCCGCCGGCTATGACTTCAAAAGTAGCTCAAAATTACATTTTTGTTGGACACATTTAAAGAATACGATTTGTTTTCTTCAAATGATTAAAAATATGATATAAATGATGAGTAAACAAATTGGCCCCCATTTCGCCAACGGTCATTTTCAAAATGATGACGTCATATACAAGAAAGAAAACACAAATTCGAGAAATTTTGAAATTTGGCAGTGTAATTAGTTAAACACTCATTAGTAGAGAAAAAAAATTATACTACACATATAACTTCAATGTTTTCGTTGAAACGTTATAGCTAAAAGAAGTTTTTAAAAATATGCTGACTAAGCATTTTTTGAAATTGGTTTACCACTCTAAACATCAACACAACACCATTTCAAGTTTTTGTCACTACATCTCTGTATTTAGTGATATTTGTTGTTGTATCTAATGAATTGCTCACAATGTCATGCATAAAAAAGTATGCCCAAGGCATCCAACAGAATCATTGCAGTCGTAAAAATTGTGGTTGAGATGCAGGCGTTGTACCACTGTTTAGCACTGAAAAACAGCGGTGTCGAAGATAAAACTATCAGATGATTTTAATTATTTTTGTTTTTTAAATCTAATATGAATATATAAGTAATTAAGGTTCTAATTAACATTGTCAATATCAAGTCCTTCATCATTTTCATATGCATCTTCGTGATGAAAGTCTTGTTTTTGCAACTATCCGAACATTTACACAAATCAGTGCAATTCAGGTTTGTTTTCTTACATGAGCACCGAGCAGCAGCCTGTTTTGCAGGAACAGTTCATGATCTCCAGCACGCTATCCGGTGCCACTGGAAGAGTCATCCACTTGATGCATACCTGCCCATTCTCGATGTACCAGCCATGTCCATCTGGACTTCCTGCAGTTATAATTTGCACCATACATCGACGTCTGACATAGCTTTCGTAGTTCGCACGATCTATATGCTGCACTAAGCTGTCTGAAGTGGGTGGAAGTGTTTTTCAGTGCAATTTCCCATTCTAAAAAGGTTATGTCGAACATTATCCACATCAATCTCATTTTCTTGTCCGTATAAGTGACAAACAAACTTTTGTAGATATGAGATTGTGCATTGGTCAACTGTCATTTGTTTGCCCAGATCTTGAAAGGCACGAACATACTCGACTTTACTGCGTGCAGCTTTGAGGCATGTCGCCTTTCCTTTTCCAGTAAAAGAAGACGTGGAATCAGATCCTGAAAGGGGAATTGATAAAATATTAATGTTTTATCTGAATGGTTGGATGTAAAAAAGCTCACAATTTGACCAGAGTGTGAGAGGCGATAAAAGTTGTAACCTCTGCGCGCGTTTGAACGTCAACTCATAATCATAATCTACTGCAACGAGATAAGTGAATTTTCTGCAATTTTGAAAATATTGCTCATGTGCCTAGAAAATTTCACTTACTGCAGTATTATCAGTATTAATTAATGTATTGTGTATTACAGTACCTTTTCTTCAACAGACGGTATAGCAGTATTCATTTCAGGCTGTATTATGATTCCATTTGCTATGTGAGTGGTGTCTTTACCTGACCTGGTTTCTTCGCCAAAATGAACACCTTCTCTTATTCCTGATGGGATAGAAACATCATTTTTAAGGTTAAGCAATGCCAGAGCTGGTTCATATGATAAGGCCACAGAGTGTGATGCACAGTAACCAAACCCACTGAGAATTTCGGTTAGAGCTTGAGACCCAGTTATCTGACGAGTAGTCATTGTTAATGCCAGTGATTTAGGTGTTTGCTTTCTACCTCCAGAACCAACAAAGATACAGTCTTGGATTATGGCAAGCACCTTTAAATTAGAAAATTTTATTCAATGCGGCTTACATACATGTCAGAAACCTAGTGTAGGTTTACTATTTTTCATTATGGGCATCTTACCTTTGCTTTATTCTTTCTGGATAGAGTAACATATGATGATATTTGGGGGTCATCTGACATTCCCAACATCCAAGCAAAGAAGTTGTACAGTCTTGGTGGTATCATCTTCTCAACAGATGAAAAATTTATCTCGACTGATAATGGTGGCCAGACTGAATCAAATTCAGGACCATCTTTTACTAAATGCCTTAATTCAAGAGCTGTGTCATAAAAGAAATTAAATGGTATTCTCTGTTCATCTTGCTCAGGGTCAGGAAATTTATTATCACAAGAATCTTGAAATTCTTCAGTTGAACTGCCTAAGTCAAGATCATTTTTCATTTGCACATGACTTTCTGCAATGTCACCAGATGACAGATCCTCCACAAGGACAATTTCACTGGTATTTTGTCTTCGAGGTTGATGAAAAATTAACTGGGGAAATCTTTGTTTAAGTCTATCTAGTTTCAATCTCGCTTTTTTGTACGAAGATGCATCTTCCTTTTCAACATCATGAACCATTGTACAAACACTTTAAACAAATCATTCATAAACTTGTTTTTTTTGTCTAGTATGATTTTCAGTTCCACATATTTCTCACAAAATGCATCAAAGGAATCTTTATATAGTACCCTGCTTCAACCATCTGTCTTACTGTTATAAAATACAGGGTTGGTGTATGCCTTGAAACATTTATCTTGATATCTGACCTCAATTACCGAACAGTCCAAGTCTCTAATATGAACCAACAAGTGTTCATAATTTCTTCTAAGAGCTGCTTCTCTGAATCTCCCAGCAGTAGCTGTTTCGGCCTTTCGCAGTGGCAGTAATGTTGTTTTTAGTGTTGTCTGAAAGTAGGATTTAATAATCTGATATAAGCTGATAAGCATTAGTGGATTAGTTACCTGATGGAAACTTTTGCCTCTAGGCTCACAGCATACACATATTATACAGCAGTACATTACAACTGTGAACATAAACAGCGAGAAATATTGAACATAAAAAACGAAATAAACATCAATATTTAAACACTTACTTCACATTTTCCCCATGCTGTTGACTTTTTGCATATTATGGATTTGGCAGGTAAAATGTTTCTCCTGCATCTGGAACTACCAATAACTGTGCCTTGTAACAAATCATCCTGTTTTTCCTGACTAGGACACGGGACACCTTTGGGATACACGAATGTATTTGCCTATTTGGCAGCTGGTTCACAGTTCACTAACTAAACTTCACTTTCCATATCGCTCTCTGATGCTGGTTGTATTTCGTTCTTGGGATTCCTTTCAGTATTCTCCAACTTTGATATATTCGCCACTTTACGATAACATTCCATATGGTAATATTACATAGCCATTGGCAAAACTTTCTTTCTCGCCTTCATTCGAGATTTGAGTAAACTGATAACTGATTTTCATAATTTTCGGATATTATTTGGTACGAGTTTTGACACACGTCGCCAACATTATTACTCAAATTTATCCATCTTTTTCTTAAGGTAATAAGCTTTTCAAATGTTTTATTGCTAAAGCTTTTTAATTGTTCATCTTTGCTCCCAACGAAGTGCACAGCACATTCTTTGCTTGTTATGGCAGCCATATTGTATTGCCCTATAAATTAACATTGGCCAAGATATGCCAAACCGGAAGCTTTGGCTGCAAAAAGTGGATTTTGCTGAATGTTATGAATTGCGATCAAAGACAAGTAAACAAAATGGCGGACAACTGAGAGCGATAAAATACGATTTTGCATCGCTGATTTTTAAGGAAACTGGTTGGTTAGCACGGGGCCACTTTTTAGAATTTTGTTTGTGCGGTGCAAAACAGCACTTTGACGTAAAAAATATGTATTCCCCAAATGTGTCCAGCGAAACTAAACGATATCGGACCATAGCCGGCGGCCTATTTTATAAAGAACATTTTAAAACGTCTTGTGAAGCGTTTGAGGTTGAATTTTACCTTAAATTGAAACTTATATTACGTATAATAACATACTTAATTAACATATATATGTTTGTGGAATTAAAACTTTTGTAATAAAAAGTGATATTTTTAGGGGATTTTTCATTTGTAAAAATATTCTTAACAAAATTATCGTGTTACCATGACAACTACTTTAAATACTTCATGTTCGGAAAATACAATGGTTTTGTCAGCAAGGCGAGGGGTTTCTGCATGCATGTATTTTCTAGTAATACAGTACAAATGTTAAAACAAATGTGAAAGTGTTACTGTCGATCTTTATCTATGTTTGCTAAAACTAACGAAAATTTCACAGTTTTTTATTTCGTTGGGCAATGTATTATATAGTTTGGAGGATGCGTCCTGAAACCTTCCTTTAATTCGAGGAATTGTTAATTTAGTGGAGTCACTAGATCTTAAATTTCTTACATGTTTGGTTACTTCTAAACTCACGTATGATGGCCAAGACGAGTCATGTAATGCCTTGTAGTTTATTTTTAGGATATGCCATTCCCTACAACTGGAAACCAACCTAGCTTGATGGTATCTGCTATTGTTGCATAACGTCCTGCAACTTGCGGCAGCATTTTGAACTAGTTGAATATGTTTTATCAGATGAAGCGAAAGCGGATCAAATACAAGGTCATTTTAATTCAGTTTTGATAGCAAGGCCGCGATGCGAACCCTACTTTATAACCAGTTAAACTGCTGTTGTGGTCACTCTGTCGCAGAATGGGACATTCGGAAACCATAAGTTTTTGCAAGCCATTTGACATCAATTAAACAAATTACAAAAAACTGTACAATTTCGGTTGAAATATAGCTTTCAAAAAGAGTTTTTTTGAAATTATGGTATGTTCTCAGTTTCCAGATTTTGTTGGCATCTTACTCGATTGAACAATAGTTGGAGGATTTGTAGATGGAAATTACCGAGTGTAAATTTATATACATTTAAGACCTAACCAGGAACAGCTGCGAAAAATGCAACTATATGTCCCTGCGATTCCGGTACAAACCTCCGACCAAACTGAGCTACAGAGTCCATTTGTCGAGCTCTAACCATATTAGGTTATGGCCTGTTAGAGTATACTGCTATGTTAGGATATTGCCATGTATAATATGCAGTGTACCCACTGTATTAAATCATATATAACACCTACCATTTCCTTGAATTTATCACGCAAACGTCGCATCATAGCTTTGCTTCCTTTAGGCACAGGTTCTTGCGAAATGTCCTGTTCCTCTTCACTACTTTCTGGAGATGGTGTAGTGATTCTCACCTTTGGAATTTTGTCTACAATCTAAGTGAAGAAAATAAATCAACAAATTATGGTAATACCAACAAATGTTTGCTTTGTCTACACTTGCAAAATTTCAAAATTCCCCACGAAACATAAAGGGCTTGATTGCTTTGTAGCAACGTGAAAAGGTTTTAAAAATGGCATTTCGCAGACAGATAGGAAGAACGTCGCAGTAAATGGTTATTTCGTTAGTTTGATTTTAAATATTTGCTTTTTGTTCAGTCGAAAGCAGTAGAAAATAAGGAAAAACATTGTTCAGTAATATGTATTTAAAAGTTGAGAGTAGTAATGGTTAGATCCATTCACCAGTTGGCCAGCAGTATACTCAACAATTAAAACGTCAAAAAATGACATGGGCGAAACTTTTCGCCAGCTACTGGAACAGTAGGGCTTTAATATTTCACAGAAAACTAGCACATGACATGCATTACTTTATCACCAGCTCTGGGAGGCTTGGATATATCTTCATTAAAAGACGAATTACCATTGCAGTATGCTGCGTCTGTTTCAATAACGAAATCACACGTAGAGTCGATTCCATCACAGAATAAGAAGTTGAAAAGCTGCGAGCCATCAATAGATGACTTTAGAAACATCATGGGTCTTTAAAAACAACAGAATTAAAGTCGAAGATGGAAGGAATTGACAACACACTATCCCCAAACCTACTATCCTTGGTGACTCAATTGCACTCCACCTTATGGTGAAGAGCCTGGGACTAAATAAACAGGAGTTTAGGGACTCTTTACGAATGTGCTATAACCTGCCATTGTCTGGTCTACTAAATAATCGCTAATGTGGAGTGGTCTTCTTTATTAACCACGCAATGTCATGTAAAAGGGCTGGCTTTGTTGCACAAAGGCATGATGAGATTGGAGACTTGCTATGTAACTACCTTATTGAGCAAAGTTTGCAAAATTGTAGCAGTTCAGCCACGCCTACAAGCGCTTGACAACGAAAAATTTGATTTGAGATAATACAAGTCCTGAAGCAATTAAGATTGGACATTAAAGCTGGAGGATTCTGGTCTCGTGGAGTTACGGCATTTTCGATGCTCGAGTAACGCATGTTAACTCTGTGAGTCATCAGAATAAACCAACATCGACGATATTCAAGGAGCAAGAAAACGAGAAGAGGCAGTATAATACGAAGAGTGCTGGACGTAGAGCATGGAACGGGGGAATTGTATTCGTAACCAATGGCGGAATCGGAGCTGAATGTACATGTTCTTAAAAACTCTGGCTAAACTTTTAGCTCGAGAGAATGGAGACCCGCACTATATGGCTATCGCCTGGTTGTGAACCCAGTTGTCGTTCAAAATTTTGAGATCAATAAATCTGTCTGCCTTTTAAGAAGCGAGAAGATGAAGACCTATCTCGATGATTTTCGCCTGAATGTGTATGCCGCTTGAATTTTTGTAAAAAATAACTGTTATAGCCTAGAAAATATTCTTCACTTTTTAACTATTTATTGGACTATACGTACAATTTTTCAATTAATTTTTAATGAACAATTTAGTTTTTATAGTAATATTTATAAGGACAAGTAGTTTGCAATATCTGAAGTGTGTACATATATATTAATATATATACATGGATTATTTCAAGTACGTCCTAATGTATTTTCAAGTACGTCCTAATGACTTTTGTGCAAACGTTTTAAAATAGGCTATAAGGGACTGATTCTGTTTCAGCTATAAAACCCAGACCTGTTCTTGACGTAGTGATAAACCTCCTTGTAATTCCAAGTGTTTAGCAAATGATGTACTGGGCAGCTCCACTCCTGCTAAACAAAAAACAATTGTTAATGAGTGGAAAACAGCAAGTTACTTAATGCAACATGCTCACGCTAAACATATTGGCCTTTACATGATGGTATATAGGCATAATAATAATTGTTTTAGAGATCTTATTTACAGCACAGGTACTGGTTATATGCAGCGGATTCCACCTATACCCGAAGCGTTTTTCACTCATACTTATACGCAGGTTATATTAAACAGTTTCTTCGTATAATAATCATAATCACTTTATGTACCATTCATATCCGTATTACTTGCTGCTGTGGACGCATTGTCCTATAAAAAATGTCAGAAATATTGAAATCAGAGGTATAATTCTAGAATCTTTTATAATATTAATTCTTATAATATAGCATTTGCAAATTCCGGCTGAACGCTGATTGGCTAAGAGCCGTGTTGATATAACTCAATGTCAACACGGAAAATTTCACTTTCTTTACATTTATTCGTGCTATATATTATAAAAAATATAAAACATTTTTTCCGTATTGATAGTTATATCAACACTCGTGGAAAATGGGAAAACTCGAATTTGTGTGAAAACACTCCGCCCTCTGGGCGTCGTGTTTCCACACAATTTCTCGTTTTCCCAGTTTCCACTCGTGTTGATATAAATGTAATATATCAACACGCGGAAATGTTTCATATTTGTTAATTATAACATTTACTGGTGCATACATGTATACAGTACATGTCATGCAGGTAAATGTGAAGTAGAAGAAGTGAGCTTGGAGTAGACCTCCTCAGCTCGTCCCATTTCAATTTTTGTTTACCCTTTTGAGAGATGGTTTGTTACCAGTTTAATGATATTCGGGTACGAAACAATACATTCGTTATAGCATGCATGCATGCATGAGAAAGAAACGAAAATAGTACATCTCTCAAATATGGAAATGAACATTGAAATGGACATGAATTTTCATACCAAGCTGAGGAGGTTTAATGATATAAATAACAGTAATGACAAATGATAGAAATGTCAGTGTACTTGAAGCTTTATAATCACGTTTAACGCGTTTGGTCAGGGTAAATGTAATACGAATATCCTTCGACTCGTTTGTGGAAAATATGTCAAATTGTATAAAATACACAGCACAATTTGATGCATTCTATGCATCTGGGAATGGCTGATTTGGAATCTTCATATATGTATTGCATTCTACCAAACTTTCAAAAATAAAAAATAACAAACATGCGATTGAAAAAAATTAAATACTGCCCTCAGTCTATTACGCGGTAATGCGGTATCCAGGGGTATTCGAGCACATGCACAAGTTGTTATCTACTTTGCAGTAAAGAGTGTTGATAGAAAAGCAAAAATTCATTTCATTTTATATATCTGAAAGTACTTTTAGGTCACCTCTAAAATTATCATTGAGTTTCTCGGTAAAACCAAGTATAATACCACACCTAAGTATTAATATACAGCATTGGTGTAAACTTTTACAAGCATACAGCGAAGCAATAGCAAAGATAAAAATACTTAATTTTCTCTCTAAGGGCCCGTTTACACTTGCAATTTTTGCTGCGATTTCAAGTGCGATTTTCCCCTCCTGATTCATGTGAACGAGTAGTTGAGTTACGAATTTTCGGAGTACATGTACCCTCATCTGAACCTGGGAACGAGGTTGCATCTGAACATTCATAACTCAACAACTCGTTCACATCCATCATCAGAAGAAAATCGCACTTAAATTATCGAAGCAAAAATCGCAAGTGTAAACGATCCTTAAAACTCTCACATCCATTCATATAGTATAAATTATTTTAATTTTTAATTCAATAGGAATTATACGGCGGTCTTTTTTAATAATATAAAAAAGTAACGAAAATATACTTGCTACGAATAACTGCGAGCACTGAAAACAATTCAACTGCGTTGCTAATTCTAATAGCAGCACATCGACATTAGCTGCAATACCAGGAATTGATATACTGTATCATTACATTTTTTGTAAATTCTCAACTTCCTCACCCTAACTTAATTCAATTGCAAGTTTGGCAATGTTTAATTGTGTAAACGAATAGGCCCATTTCGCATGCATGGTATAGCCTACCGAGCTTTTAATTCAGCAAGGCGAATATTTTACGAAGTATAAAACGCCTGCACGTGATCAAAAAGGCATATATTGTTAGATAACAAAATTGCCTAATGAAAATGAATACTAATGAGAGTTTGAACAACACTGTACTTAATAAAACACTTACATCAGTCATAGACTCCAATGAAACAGCCACTTTCAAATTTTTATAATCTGCTCGACTTCGTACGGTCACACCTACAAGAAAAAATGTATTAAATAATTTTTCTCTTGTACGATGTCATTTAAAATCCAATTTGGCCCCATTTAGTAATCGACATGCATGCAGTTCTTAAATTCATAGTTACATGTTATATGGGGTTATAAAGTAGTTAAAACCATGAAATGGAGCTAGCTAAACGTAAAATTTTGATATCCTAAACTGTCTGAATTCGACCTGTTAATATTTTGGAAAATTGATTCATAAGAATGTGTGTGATACCCTTCTCAAACGTATATATAGGAAGCAAAAATCATGTGCCAGAAAAATAGATTTATTATTTATAGCTTAACCTGGAATAGTCTGCTTCATGGTCGCTCTTGCTACTCCAGACAACATGGCTGCTAATCCAGCTGGTATGTACGATCCAACAGCCTCATCATCACTTGATTCACTCTCACCTTCAACACTATGTGTCACCTAAACAACAATATTATGCAATTGGGTAACTATTTATCCACCATGAGATTAACAGTTAACAACGGATTAACATACCCGACGTTCATATTTTTATTTTTGCAAATTTTTAAATGAGTTAGCGAGTGGCGTATTTTAAATGAGTTAGCGAGTGCATTTATACCAATCATGGTTTTCTCTTCTCTGAGTTTTTTGCCAAATTACTGTATTTCACACTTTTATGCTTTAAATACGACATTTTATTTTGTTGACAGATACGCATGGATCGAACAACACCGGTCCTATACCTACCGAATCGTAATTCTGAATTCGCTCATACAATGACGTAATCGCGTGCATGGTACTAATTAATGCCCCATCGGATATTGCCACCCTCGCCTGCGGCCTCGATGGAGGCTGCTTCGCCGCCTGCAGGGGGCGAGGGGATGACTTGACTCTATGTCAGAAATTGCGTTGCAATTTGCAGCAAAAATTAACTCGTGTAACTTGGCTTTAGATGCCTCAACCAGTCTCGTGAGTAATCTCTGTTCAGTATACTTTGTGTATGTATATCTGTATAATTTGCCTAAGTGTCTGAATTACAAAGTGGAAAAAACAGTAGAACTTCTAACCAACAAATTAAAGTTAAACTAAACGTATAATTATGAGTCATATAATATAGAAAGTAAAAATTTTGCCTTCAAATTAACGTATATAACTAACTAAATAATTGGTTCCTGCACTTTTTCTTGCTGCAGCATATCTGAATTCTATATGATAGACACTTACTTGGCCATGAATAAGATTTCGAAGATATTTTACTCGTTGTGTCCTGCCAGTCTGTTCCAGGTATTCATTACGCAGTTTTACCAATCTAAAAGAAATACCACGTTAGATAAGCTAGTGTTATAACACTAATACCAATAATAAGGTTATAAGAAATGCGTAATGTGTCATCATTTTTTGGGTGATTCTTTGATGGTGCACTTCAATTTATATTTGGCTTCCAGACAGGCAAAAGCTTTACGACTTCTCAAGCCAATGGGGGATTAAACCGATTAGCATGAGAAAATATACAAGGTGTTCATGGAAGATCTCCGATAACGAAGTAACAGTTGTTGGCGTAAAGTTATGATCAGAGGGTGTACTATTAAGTACGGATATGTGTATCACGAACCTTATGATACGCATCAGTATTTGAATTATAAATTTCACCATAGTCATTTCGTTAAGAAAGTGATGCCATACCATGCGACCAGGCCTTGCACACTACTTTTGCCGGCAAACCACGCAGAAATAAAGGATGGCAAGTGGCTTTAGTGATGTAAATATAGGACTGTGTTTCTAATGGAATAATTCACTTCTGTGCTTGTTGCCGTCTATTTCCTGTTGTGCAGTTTGCTGCTCAAAATAACGGAAAACGATTGGTCGCATGGCGTAATTAGAGAGGCTAATTGTCAAGCATTTGGGTTGAAGGTATAGTATTTGAAACACAAACTGATGAAAACGTTTTCTTGGGCAGCACGTTGATGTTGGATGAATTGGTTGTTTTAACAGTAGATTTCTCTTGTTTCGCTTTGTGAAACAGCACATGCAGCGAAAACCAATAAGAAAGGCGGCACTAAATCCGAGTATGTTATGCCGAGGAAAGAAAATAATTACTCAAATTTCTTTTGTATCGCAATGTATAAAAGGACATTCTAAATGATAAGCCATACTAAGTGTTGACACTAACATCCATAGGGCTGCATATCTAAAAGCTATACTTTAATATTATATTAGTGAATTTTATGGGTAAAATTAACAATTTCACTGGAGTTATTTGCGTTAGCATATCCACTGGACTTATCAATAACGTGTTCTGTGCATGATCTAAATAAGTTTGTCAATCGTGCCTATAGAAAATGGTTATACAAGCAACAGATCAGATTTTAAAGCAACAATATCGAACAGAGACAAGAAATTATGGTCAAGAATTATAAATGATGATAAGAATGCCTTACGCAATCTTTTACCTAGTAAGTTAAATCCATCTTTACGACGGAGAGGTCATGACTTTGAACTACCAATTGTTAAAACTGAGAGGTTCAAAAACGCGTTTATAAATAGATGTCTTTTCAATTTTATATAAACTATATATCTATATTCTTATACCTTAGAATTTTAAAGTACTAAAAATTGATGTAAATAACAGTAAGAATCAATTTTTTTATTCTTAATATGTAAACTCAGACGTTTGATTTGAGTAGCGAAATAAAGACTTTTATTATTATTATTATATTATTATTATAATTACGTATTAACTAAAATTATTTACACCTTTTAAAGAGATAAAAATTAGTTTGAATTAATTAAACGACGATGCGATGCCATCTTACTCTTGGGCGTGCCTTGCGTAATTCATTGTTGAAGAAATTATTTTGAAAGGCCATGGACTCGTAATATAATTACCACTCGCGAGCAGGTAACGAACTTTAATGAATTCAAAAATTACGTAAAATGGCATCGTTGTACAATTAAAACGAATTTTTTATCGCTTTCATTTATTCGTACTTCGAAAGCTTTTCTTATCAGCATTTATACGCCTAATTGTAATTAATATAATCAGGGTTTGCTGACATTGTACGAAGTCTTTGCACTTTTATATTGGTGCACACATACGTAACACACCATTAAGTACGTTTTACAAATAGTTGAATGTTTGGCTCATGTCACATGATTGTCACCAATCCAATTATAATATAGCCTTCCCAGATAAACAAAATTAATTAAGCGTCGTTGTTTCAATTCCAACGTTCTTTGAAAAGATCATTCTCAACATAATTGGAAAACCATGTTTATTTTTCTTTTAAGTATATCCATTCCAAGTTGCGTATTGAGGGTTTTATCGAGTTTGCCCTTCGACGGTTTACGGCTGGCTTGAAGAAAACTATGGTGTTTTCATTTCTAACACTTTCCCGGAGACGCAATTGGAGCGACTTTCCTAAATCTTTCTTGGTAGGAATGTTATAATATTCTGCCCCTTCGGCTCATTTTCAATTTCTTGCCTTAAGCCATCAGCGTAAAATTGCGATCGAAGATAATCGTCAAACTCACAAGACTCGTCCACATATTCCAGACTATTGAGACATGCACTATCAGTGACATTACTCGAAGATCGCTTTATATCTTCTAAAGCAATTTTCATCCATTTGCCGAATGCTTTCGGCAGATAATTGGGACGCAATCCCTTCCCCGGCCAATAAATTCGGTCCCAAGTCATGGTTTGGGTAACAATGGTAGCACGAGTATTCTCTTGGTTCAATAATTCGGAACACAGCTTTAACAGGTCAACTAGAAATATGTAGTCCATCAGGTTTGATGTCAAAATTCGGTCATACACTACTTCAACTTCGAGATGTTGTTTGATGTCCATACAATCAGAGAGTACTATCTGGAAACGAATTTGTCGTTTTGATAATTTCTTCATGAAGCTTCGTAACACGGATTCGATATATTCACCAAACATACAGACGAGGCAATTGGAATTTTTGAATTTCTTCACTCGCAGGTAATCCCAGCCACAGAAAGGAAAAACGGTAGCTTGAATACAATAAGAGTAAGGACTACCTCCGTTATTCATTTCGTAACCAGTCAAGGTCGGGTTCTCGATGATTGCAGGTGACTGGGTTCGTCGAAAGATGCCATCTTTTATCCACTTCATTGCTGAAGCAACGTGCTCATGTTCGAGACAATGAAGAATCATTTCGTGATAGATGGGATAGTTTTGGAATTTTTCGATTCGTTGCTTTTGAATCCAGTCTGTTCCTTCCACGAACAAATGTAACCAATTCTCCCACACATCTCGTAACTTTCTAAATTGCTTTTCTTCAATGCTGATCAAACCAGCTGTTGTAGTTTTTAGAATTTCGGCATTGCGGAAATTGACAAGCTCTTCAATGGTCGTTCTCAGATATTTATACGTAGGTTCAGTCAGTAATATCGAGTACCATATTTCCGTGACCTTGCTTTCTACTCCAAAATCACCTGCAGATAAAATATGATATTAGAATACTGATCAATAACGGTTAGATTACTATACATGACGTAATTTCGATCAGGTTGAAAAAAACATTGTATTCGGAAATAGTTTTTATGAAAAAGTATTGCACAGGAATGGTTTACATTAAGATCAAAACACGAGGAGTGCATTAATTAAGGCATAATGAAACCCTCGTAACAACATTTGTGTTAAAGTAAAGTTACAAAAGTAAAATTACGTATAGGTTCTTGCTACTTGAATAATAGGTGAGAGCAAAAGGATAGCGATTAAAACAAACAATTTCCACTTTCTTTTACTACTAAACATGACAAGGCTGAACCCCAACGCTTGAATTACAGCTTCAATATTTCTTCAAATGAAATTTTGAATTTCCATGCGATATGCTAAATATGTTCACGTGTTCCATATAGAAGAATGAGCCTAGAAGGGGAGGCTGACACACAATCCAGCGGACAAGGGATTGAACACAAAATCTGGTCAAAATCTCCCATACCTGAGAGGATGATCCCAGCTCCCACGCTGGCCGCAATTACCAGGTTATCAGTGGTCTTAAGTTCTCCAAATCCAATTTTCTCAAATGGCTTGCTTATAAATGACCGTTGAAGGGTTCTTACGAAGATGGCGGTTTCGGATATTATACCAACCACCGGGACGTGCTCACAATTGCTCGATTTGACTCATACATACACTACGGATTTTCAAAAAAAATTGTTTCCGCTAAAAAATAGCTAGCAATTCTGTAAATAAACCTGAAGCTCTTTAATCTATAATAGAACGCTTTAATAGTATTTTGCTATTCCCAGATTGCTGGACACCAATAATAAACAATTGTTGGATCAAGTACGCTTTCAATTCGTACCTGTAAAAACTGTGAATAGTTAATCTTTCTCGTCTTTAGTTCTTTTAAAACCCAAAATATAATTTCATCAGGCACGTTGTCATTTAAATTTTGCGTTCGAAGTGTTATTTGAATATCAAAACATTTGAGGCGCGACGTCTGCTTTGCAGGCTACATTCAGGTAAGTATTCATGTAAGACCCACAAAATAGTTTGAGCAAATTATAAGGTATGTGTGATTATAAAAGTTAATCATAACCCTGATCCTAACCTAACGCTAACCATAGTTTTAACACCATTTGACTGTTTTAACCCACTTTTAATTACCTCAATCTATTATGTTTTCCAACACATCGAACATAAAATTTCAATAAACGTTACAAATTATATTATTGTAAGTTAAAGAAGAACTGAAGAAGACAAATATGAAGTGTTCACAGTTTTTACGGGTACGAAATGAAAGTTAATGTCAGATACTATCTTTAAAAATTCATCACAAAGCGTACCGCTGTGCCGCTGTGCTCCCTTGGTTGGATGAGGTTTTTGCAATATACGATACACATATATGACCTTGAATTATCAAGGCCAAGGTAAGTGTCATGACTCATCAGGCGAAGCCAATGACACTTTTCGAGACACTTCCGAGATCGAATTTAATATGACAATATTACTAAAATCACTAAACTGGCCACATCCCGCTAAGAATTTCAAACGGGGAAAGACGTTTGATAAACGGGGAAAGACGTTTGATAATTCCAAATTCAATTTTCGTTCAATCATGTGATCAAATTGTTTCATCATTTTGGTCACATGACTTCACGATTTGACAGTGCTATTTATAATAATTATTCCTAGTCAACTTCGAAACAACTCAGTATATTACAAGATGGAGATCATATTTTCGCTAAAAGGGAGATCATATTATAAGATAGATACTAGATAGATTGTTCATTACGATTATGGAACTTTAAAATGAACATAAAACGAATATTTCATATATTATGTTGCATTGACCTTCGTTTGGATGTTTGTGACCTTGTTTACGTTTGAATAACTTGACTGTTGAGTAACGAATTTCTGACGTTTAATTCAAAACTACGCACCTGATTGCATAATAAAATTAGAAACCCATGTACAAAAATAAATTGATAACAAAATCGTGAAGTCATGTGACCAAAATGATGAAACAATTTGATCACATGATTGAACGAAAATTGAATTTGGAATTATCAAACGTCTTTTCCCGTTTATCAAACGTCTTTCCCCGTTTGAAAATCTTAGCGGGATGTGGCCAGTTTAGTGATTTTAGTAATAATTGTTTTACAACTATTTAAATCCTGTCCTACAAAACATCGTTTAGTTCCTAAATACTCATTCAAGAAATTATAAGAACCTCAACAAAATATTCCCAAGCTCATTTATTAGGGTTCGATAAAGTATTTGAACAACCATAGCCTGCTCGCAGCCTTTTAAAATTTCCGCTTTCTAAATTTCGAGCTGCATGAGAGCAGGCTAGAACAACAATTACAGTACTTTTCTGCAAAAAAATTTGAAAAATAAATTGGTCATTCATGTCGTTTTTTTATTCATATGTGTAAAGCTATTACCGTTTGCTATAAAATTAAGCGCCGCACGCCCAACCTATACAGATAAATGAGCCAATTGCAGGTTGCATGATTGCTATATTTACCTGAAGCCACTAGCAAATCAGAGTGCATATAGTGACTAACATGTATAATGTTAATGTATAACATGTATAAATTCATACCTTTTATCAACATGTACAGCAGTAATACCAGTCTGGCCAACACACAGCTCTCTTTATCATTTAGTGTAAACAAGACCTTGTTGCTGTATGAATCAGGCAACGAGGCGCACGTTAGCGCTACGTTTCGTAAATCACCAACACCAAAATATAAAACCTTTAATCCTGAACTATAATCGTCGCCTTCGTTTTCGACCAAATTCAAGCAATCTAATGCCGGTACGTTGCCCCAATAGAAATAGCCAGAAGAAGAAACTGTTTGGCCCGAACTCGAGAAATGCGTCAAAATACGTTGCGCGAGTATTTTTATTACTTCCTTAACATCTTCGCAATCAATCTTGTGCCTTTCCCAGTTGCTTCTCTGGCAGTTCGTGTCACAATAGAAAGCTCGATAACATCCAGTGCAAGCTTTTAGATTTGGGCCACTTTTTCTACACGTCGTGCATGTCTTGAGAATCGACGCAGAAATGCACTCGGCCTCGTGTCGAAATATGTCATTTCTTTGACATCTTTCACTGCAGTATTTAGCAACACCACACAATTCGCAAATAATGCCAACACCAACTGTATTTCCACATCGCCAACACTCGGAAAATCTAGGCATTTTATGACACCATACAGACTTGGTAAGCGAACCTTACCATATAGTCCAAAACCAAACAACCGGAACAAACATCAATTGTTACATATTAACGAGTTTTCAAATTCCAGGAACAAGAATACTTGGAATAGAACAAGCAATCGCTATATATGGGCTTTCTACGTATGCTTTTAATGCCAAGATCCACTCTTACAGAAATTGGCACATGTGCGAAAAAAACTACGCATGGCATACATAATTATAATTATATAGTAAACAGTCGAAATTGGCCACTTTTTCACACTGTCTGGAAAGCTCACACCCGGGTAAGAGCGGGCTGGGTTTGGTCTAACACGCAATTCTACCATTATTTATTTCTCCGGATACCGTGGTACCACGGTCTTACTTGTACAAAATGGCATATTCAAAAGCAACATCAAGAGACTCTTCCAAATCAATGTAAATAAGAGCTATTTATATATACACCTATATTAGGCACAAAAACTACCACCCTTTTTTCTGCAAGCTTTTTTCTGCATATAATTTATAGTCGCTTCGCACATCAAAACACAACTTGAAAATTATATTATTCTTCGATTCCTGTTTGGGAAAATTTAATTATTCGATCCCTGCTTGGGAAAATTTAGAAACAAGACGATGTATAACCAAATCAATAATAATGATTTACCAGTTTTATTGAGAATTACACTGTATACAAACCTGTATATATACAACAACCTTAAGAATTCAAGCAATTTCATTAGCCGAGAGCCACGATCTATCCGAGGGCAGACGCACGAAATTACTTCATAAACTTGGTTTTTAAATGAAATGTTTGTTTCAGGCAATAGCAACGAGCAAAGCATCGCTTATTATAGCTCACGACTGACTGCATCGAAGCTAGAGATAAGAGCACTTGGAAATGTGCCAGAAACGGTACTTCGAATTGATCAACATTTGAGCAATAATAAGTAATTTGATCAGTCAATGTCTCTTCGCCGTTCGACTTTTTCAATCTTCCAAATGTTTGGCGGGAATAAAAAATAAACTACATACCTGTTTTCAATTCGAGTTTTTAACTTTTTATTATATAAAACAAATAGATAACATTTTGCCGTTGTCTGTTCAGTTATATATACACAGTATGACATCATAATGTAATAAGAACATCAGTGCATGACTCGCCCCTACCGCTCATGGGACACTTTTTGTTCTTACCATATTATGACGTCATAATTGTCAGAACTATGACAGATAACTGACAGAACTGTGACAATGGCAAAATATCATCTATCTGTTAACTATATATAACACAATTTACAGTTATGTTAGACATGAACATGCAGTCACGATGACCAGGCCGTCCAGGCGTTTCAACGTCGTATATATAGTCTCAAGCATATAAGCTTAATTTCAAAGGTGTTTTTAAGGTTTCTTTAAAGGAGAAGAGTTGGCGAAGCTGGTAGAAGGTATAGTTCCAACGTTATATGTATAATTCCAAAGTTCAACTAAGCGCGTTTGAAGCAAGACGCTTGTTTTGGATTTGCAGAAGGGAACTTTGAGGATGATCGAAAGACTTAGACAAAGCCGACTGCGGTCATGTTCAGAAACGAGAAAAAGCAGTTTCCGTCGAGATTTATGTTGCAATAAAGTGTCTTGAAGAAGATCATTCTATTGCGATGACAGTATTCCTCGTGTGCATTTGCATGATTATTCTGTGAGCGTGAAGATTATGTAATACAGGCGATCAATCTAACTTACTTGCTTTCTGATATCAAATTATAATAAGTTGGGATGTTGCCTTTAAGATTAGCTTATTTACAATAGGTTTTATATATCAATAGTGTGTTATGCATACATTATATATATATATATATATATATATATATATATATATATATATATATATATATATATATATATATATATATATATATATATATATATATATTTGTATATATATATATATATATATATATATATATATATATATATATATATATATATATATATATATATATATATATATATATATATATATATATATATATATATATACTTATATATATATATATATATATATATATATATATATATATATATATATATATATATATATATATATATATATATATATATATATATATATATATATATATATATATAATTCAGTCAAAGTTTGAATGTTTGCGTCGCTACTCTGAGTTTCACGCTTTACGCGATCATCAGGCAACTGACAGATATTATTCAATATTCATAATAAATATAGGTTATCATTTACAACTTGATTAAGCAGGTATCTGGTTACATGTCTACATTTGGAAAACAAGTCAGAGCGTTTGTTCAGGCATTCAGTTTTCTTCGCTTTCATAATAAGTAGTTTCTCCTCGAGGCATAAATTACACCGTTTAGATCCTGGTTTGTATGCTTTGACTTTCTTCAGTTTCCACTAGACGTACTTGGACAGTTCGGTGTTGCTCTTGTATTCCTCATGTCGGAAAGACTTAGTGTGATTGCGGTATCTTGTTTTGAAATCGCCCGCCGTCATGCCAATGTATATTTTCTTTTCCTGGTTGTTGGCAGTGCTGGTTGTCACTTCGGCTTTGTATACGATGCTCTCAGTAAGACATTTTTTACCAAGTGGACAGTTGGCGGGTTTTTGGCAGTTGCACATTGGCGTGTCGTTTTTTGTAGGTGTTGGTATTACCGTTGGTATGGATGATTGTATTACCCTAGCAGTTGGCGTTCGTTTTGTGTTTCGGTTGAGTATATTACGATTGTGTTTACGGATGAGATTTTTCATGTTTGTCATGCAACTGTAACTAACACGGACTGTGTGGCGGTTGAAAAGTTTGTGCAGTTTGTTTGAGGGAGGAAAATGCTTGTCAATTAGGTTTAGGAATGTCTGTGCTACATTGGTCTTAACGTTCTTGCTATAAGGGGGGTTGTACCATGTAATGTTTCGTTGTCTGTTTCGTTTATCGGAGTTATTAGTGTTGTTTTGAGTTTGTGTGTACGTTAGGTTAACGTCAAAGTTGCTTTGCTTGAGAGCGTTGTTGTAAAGTGGCGCTGCTGCGTTGAATGCTTCTTCGTCACATGATAGTTTGTTAATGCGTTTGTTGACTGAGTGTGGAAGTTGTCGTGTGATGGAAGGTGGATGGTTTGATAATCTGTTTATGTACAGTGGTTCGTCATTAGGGTTTCGGTATGGTTTATATTTACCGTTTGATAGGTCAAGCGTCAGGTCAAGGAAGTTCACGCACTTGATGTTTGTCTGGGTGGTGATTCTGAGGCCAAAGCTCTCAAAAATGGTGATCAACTCTTTCCTCGCCTTGTCCGCAAGTCTGCCTGATGTTGTTCTGAGGGCAGCCAAGCCGTCGTCACGGTATAGGCCTACGTCTTTCCCAAAGCGTTTCTCGAGTGTGTTCAGAATGAAAAGTCCGACGAGTTCGCAGACCTCAGCGCCATCGAAACTTCCC